CCCCAAAACCCCAAAACCCCAAAACCCCAAAACCCCTCTAATAGTATTAAAAAATGAAAAGGCTTTTAAATAATTAGTTAATAAATTTGGAAATGAACAAGGTTAATCACATTTATCTGATCTTATGGATGATAGTCATCTCACTCGGTATGTTCCAGTTCGGATACGGAAATGCCAGCTTCAGTAATTTACAGCAAGTCCTATTCTTTCAGTACCAGGATGCAAAAGGCGAAGTTATTAGCACCCAAAAGAATTTTAACTCTGTGGTTACAACAGCAGTGCCTGCAGGAGCAGCTATTGGGTCTTTCACAGGAGGCTTTTTCACACCATTAGGAAGGCGCCCAGCCATCATGATTACCAACGTGATCATTGTAGCAGGAGTCGGAGTTACCATGATATTTAATTTCTACGCTTTGATTATTGGAAGGATTTTATTTGGCTACGGAATAGGAGTTATGACTGTTCTTACACCTCTATTTATCTCAGAGACATCTCCTGTGGAGGTAGCAGGTCCGATGGGATCTCTCAGTCAAATAATGGTCACTGTAGGAATTATGATTGCCTACATGTTTGGTTTCCTAGCTCCAATAAGATACCTTGATAAAGAAGGCGATCCTGAAATGAACCCAGATGTCCTGACAACTCAATCTTGGAGAATTATATTTGCAGTGCCAGCTGCTATTTCCATTTTTCAAACTTTGATGCTGTTGGTTGTATTCAGGTATGACACACCAAAGTTTTACCAACAGAAGGGCGACAGGGATATGATAAAAGCTGTTAACGCAGTGATCTACAAAGAAAAATCTGGAGAAGATCAAAGCGAGAATTTGGTCCAAAATGAAGATGACAATGCTGAAAGAGTTACTTTGGGAGAAATGTTTGGATCCGTATATAGATATGTCCTTATTATTGGCTCACTCCTTGCGATGTTCCAACAAATGACAGGCATTAATATGGTTATCTTCTATTCAAATGTCATCTTTACACAAGGCTTGGATGAAGGATATACAGCAGAGACTAAAGCGAGGATTGGTACCATTATTGTTGGTGTAGTTAATTTGGCAGCAACCGTAGTTGCAATTCCTTTATTAGCTAAATTTGGAAGGAAGATCTTAATGCTTTCTGGACATTTTATGATGACAGTCTCTCTTGCAGTTCTTGGTGTTTTTGCCATCACAGGCTTCAGCACAGGAACCATCATCTTTACTTTGGTCTTCATTGCATTTTTCGAAATTGGAGTTGGTTCAATTCTTTTCTTATACTTAGCTGAGATCATGCCTGAAGCAGGTTTATCAATCCCCTCAGGTATATGCTGGGTCTTTACTATCATAATCGGTCTGATAACTCCAAATCTCTTTGACTGGCTGAAAGCAACAGGTGTTTACTTTGTATTTACCGGTATCAATTTTGTGGGCATCCTCTTCATTCTTTTCCTAATTAAAGAAACAAAAGGTAAAAGCAAAATCGAATTGGAAAGCCTTTACACACAGAAACGAAGAAATTATCAATCTTTGCCTGAAGAGCAACTCAACAGCTCGGAGAGACCTATGAGCACTGACTTATAAGCTCTTTGGAGATATCCTAATTGCTTGCCAGCATATCTGCTGAGCACTTAATCTCAAAATATTCCTTCGAATTTATACAACGAATCAGTAGTTTTGCATCGGCCGTGGTTACTTCCAAAATTGTGTAATTTGGATATTTACTATTTCCAATACGTACACGGTTGTTAGGGGTTTTGGGGTTTTGGGGTTTTGGGGTTTTGGGG